GTCTGTCTCCCCACAGCAAGTCCCTGAGGATGGACACCTTTAAATGAGACAAGTTAAGTACCATGCCAAAGTCATAAACCCAGGCAGTCCCACTCCAGCTTCTAATCACTCTACACTACTCTCCCCACCTACCCCTTTCTTAGCTGCAGCTGGCTTCTTCTTGCCAATGATGGAACTTTTCAGTTCTGTGTGAGAAAGAGGGTGGGCATGAGCAGGAGAAAGGAAGGTCAGAGGCAGCAGCTCAGTCCACACCATGCTTCATGGCAAGAGCATCTAAAAACAGCTTCAGGCAGGGGAAGGCCAGGCTACCACCACCAATTCCAACTGATGGCATCCAAGCGAAAGAAAGACAAGGTTAGGGGAGCCTTTTGACTCCTAGCAAGTTGCAGCAGGAGCCTAGACCTGAAGCACCAGAGACAAAAGTCCCTGAGCCACAAGTGAAGACCGTTAGGCAGGGGTTAGATGCCAAACACTAGCCTCAGCTCCTAGAGCAGAGAGCTGATGTGCAGAAGGTAGGCTCCCCAAGCAGCTGCAGGTTACCTCTGGCTGGAGGGGCCCCTTTAGCTGACAGATACATGGACTCTGGAGGAGAAACAGACTTGTGGCTAACAAGAGGCCTGCCCCAGAGCCTCCATATGCCTTCCAAGCCCAGAGGCCTGTACAGAGCCTACTTTAGACCCAGTCAAGCCAACATTTCCAGGCATCAGCTGTTTAGTTACTCTGCTGGGTTCCTGCCCCAACCCCCAAGAGTCAACAGAACCAAGGTCAGCAAAGGAGATGTTTATTCTAACCAAGTTCGAAGGCCACAAAAAAAAGAAAAGAGCTGAAGGACCAAACCAGGGTCAAAAAGACAATGTAGCCTCTAGCCATCAGCAGCTCAGAGCTGTCTCCCAACCCTCAATAGGACCAGACAAGCCAGCCCTACCTGACTCCAGGGATAGGTGTCCAGTCTCTCAATGGCCTCCCCACACTTTGGCTAGATCCAGTCCCACACTCAGAGGCAGCCCACCCTGGTCTGTCAATTCAAAGGGCCCAGCTCTGAAGTCACTGTTGCAGCCACTACTTCAATTAGAGCCCAAACCCAGACAGGTCGGGTGTTCGGTCTCCTATGGCCTCAGTTCACATGACTAGGCAGCAGGTATCTGTAAAGAACACTTGATGCCCACCCTCTCCCAGCCACCCACACCTGCCAGCTGGCATACTGACCCAGAGAGGCTTTGGGTGAGGTGCCAAGCAGGTCAGTGTTCGGGCCTTGCTCTGGCTCTGTGGATACAATGATAGGCATTAGGTATAAGGCTCTTGGCATCTTATAACCTCCCTTCAAAGAAAGTGATACATCAAGAGTGCCTGGCTTTCCTCAGCTTGCCATCAAAAGAAAAATTCCCACCACTTCCTCCAAGTTACAGATGAATTCCATCCCACCCAAGGCTAAAGGAAGACCTCTCTCTCTCTCTCTCTCTCACACACACACACACACACTCATTTCTATTTCCTTGGCCATGTATCCCCTTCATAGCTCCAAATCCTTTCCCAGGACCAGGGTACTTGGTTAGAATCTGGGTTGAACTCACGTGCCAGGCCACTGCTATCTGCAGACGGGACAGGCTGCTGGGCGTCTGAAGGCTCAGTGTCTGGTGCATCCCAGGTAGGGGGCTGAAAAGGAGGCCAGATCACAGAAGCCTTAGTGAGCCACTTATTGCTGGCAAGGAGTGCCAAGAACCTGCAAGTACCTTGAGGGTATAAGGCCCTATTCCTAGCCCATAAGGAATGGAGACTGGAGGTCAGCAAGTAAATTTCAGTTGCTATTCACCAGAAAGACGCTGGAAACCAGCAGGCCCCTCCCTCCCTCCCTCCACTGTTTACTTAAAGCCTGAGCACATTCCCCTAACAGAAAACCCAACTACTAGACACTTTCCATGTACCAGGCACAAGGCTAAGGGCTCCTCATAGACAAACCACTTAATTATCACAATCAGCCCTTTGAGGTAGCTACATTCCATTTTAGAAACTGAGGTTTGGGCAGGTTAAGTGACTTGGCCACATCACAGAAATGCCAAGTGGAGAGGCAGGGGTGAAAACTAATGAATCCAATTTCAATACCCAGTGCCAACAAAAGAGAAGCCTTTCTCACAAGGTAGACCTTAGGGGAGGGGATCTTTTCAAGAAAAGTCTCCAAGCACAACGCCTCTCTTATAGGGGTAGAAACTAAGAAAAGTTATTTGGGGCCTGAGACTTCTTAAGCCTGGAAGAAGCTTCTCTTACACTCTACCTCCCCAGTTCCTAGGGGTTCATTTCTAAGGAGGATTCTATCACCCTTCTACTTACCTAAAGAATAAAACACCTTGGCCTAACCAGTGGCTAGCAGTTACCAACTCAGTGGAGAACAGACATTCTCTGAGGTATCATACCAAGGCAATCTATGCCATGATCATAGAAGGCCCTTGGCCTTGGTAAATAAACCACCTATCAAGGACAATTGGGGAAATATTCCCTGGGGGTACTCACTTGAGTGTGTTCTGTGAAGAAATCAGAGTCCTTCTTCTCTGGAGAGTGACTAGGAGCACTTCCCATGTTGTCTATCCAAAGCTAAAAGGGAGATGGTATAAAACACAGGGCTCTGAGCACCCTTCCCCCACTGCCCCAGCCCAGGGACAGGCACTTACATCAGTGCCATGCCTAGCCAGGGCTGCACTCCCCAGCTGCCGGATCTTCTCTCGGTACATCTGGGCTGCTCGGCTATTATATTTGGTGTTGGCATCACTGGCTGTGCATCCATGCTGGCGGAAAAAGGCTGTCTAGAGAGCAAAGAAAAGAATGGAGTGTGCTGCAAGTGATTCTCACCAGAGCAAAAATATTATTGGCAATAGAAGACATCCCCTTTTAACATCCTTGTTATTATTTATACAGACTGATGCAATATTGACACCAGTAGTTTTTCACAGAGGTAAAGTTCCTCTGAAATTCCTGCAAAAAATACTTTGCCACATCCCATTCTCAGAGATGACTGAATGAAGCCCAGCCCTCACTTAACTCCTCCTGAGGACAGCATGCCATACCCACTCTATCCACCTTCCATCCAGGCAGGCCCACAAGAACTCAATGACTGGGGACAGTCAAACTTTCTCGGCCTTTTCTCAAGAACATCTGTCCAGTTTAGTCTGAATTTGAAGCCCCTTTGAGAGATACTATGCTGGTGTTGTAGACCAAGGGACCCTCTGAACAGAGAATAGGGCCCCCTAGGAAATAATTGCAAAATTAGTACCCAGGCGAAATTATGGGAGATTGGAGGGAAATTAAAGGAAATTTACCGCATTGGCATTCCCACCGACTTGCATACACCTCAGCTGGAACCAGTTCCAGTTGGAATCCAACTCTGTGGACCTATGTACAAGAGCTGTGTGTCACTTACCAACAAATAACAGGAGACCTGCTTCCCTGGCAGGCCCACACATGTTATTTGATGTCTGGCTGCTGCAGGCACACAGGAAACATTAATTAGTCACTGCCCCAATTCCTCCACTCTGCCCTGTGCTTTGCCCTTCATTCACCTGTTTCAAAGTGTGCTAATTATTTCCCCAGATAAGAAAGGAAGTCCCACTTTTAGGCACACAAGCTTGGATTTGACTTTACCCTGAAAAATGGTCAGTCTCACTAAGGACATATTCAGCCAAGCTATCTGCAATAACAAGGTCAATGCTGGCTAGTTCTTTCCCCAAAATAACGCTGAAGAGTCTCAAATTGGTAGACCCTGAAGAAGGAAGTTTTGATCCAAACGCGGAGAGGACCGTTTATGTGGCAAGGGGTTCAAACAGGTGGTACTCAGGCCCAAAAAGGCTACTGGACCCCTGCCCGGCCCAGAGGTTTCAAACACCGAATTCAGGATGGTCAAAGTCGAGGCAGCCACTCTCTCTTGCTGGCCACACAGCCCTGGTGGAAGCACAGTAACGGCGCGGAGAACCCACCTGATAAAGCTGAGATGGACGCCCAGAGAGCGGTGCACCCCGGAGCAGTCAATGCACAAGAAAACACCATACGTGATACTGGCCCAGCTCGGACTCTTTGCGCCGCAATCGAAACAGGCCTGAGAGGATGAAGCAAATAAGCGAACAGTCAGGGCCCGAGTTGAGGCCGGGCTCTGACATCCCAACAAAACCGCCCACCTCGGCCCCTCTCCCTCTCTCAGGCCTCGGGGGAAGGGATATCGCTTCTCGGCAGGTGCCAGACCCCGCGCCCCTCCTTTTCATGCACCTTGTTAGTTGGAATTGCTCGAAGTCTCTTAAAAAGGGTCTGAATTTCGGTCTTGCTCGGCTCCGCCGCCATTTTCTCTCCTTCCCAGACACAACCGCGACCAGCCGGTTCTGTCGCGGGCCAATCGACGGCTGGGAAGGCGGGCTAAGCCGGCCGGCCTCCGCGGCACTCAGACCAGCTAAGGGGTGGGGTGATCTGGGACGGATCTGAGCCAATGAACAGCCGGATGAACAGGAGCGAGACGTCACAGCAGCGATCACCAGCAGCCGCGAAGTAAACGCCCAGCTGCGTCAGGCCAATCCGCAGCCGGGGCGGGCGACGGCTCGCGGGCAGGCCCAAACTTCCTCGAGAACGCCGCCAGGGGGCGGAGCTGCCTGCCGCCGGCTGCCTGCTGGAGGCGAGCGGGGGAACTGGGGGCCCTAGCTCTGGCCTGTTACCGACCCAAGAGTAATGATTAACAACCCTCCCAAGTTCTTTGTCCCACCAGCTCGAGCACACCGGCCGAGGTTCCGCTCAACTCACAACCCAGCACCCAACTTCGAGCCTTGGCCAGCTAACACCAAGCTTGATCACCAATCCCTTCCAGCCCAGGTTAGAGTTCTTAAGTTCCAGGGAGGTACCAGGTGGCAAACCTTTGCCCAGCCCTAGCGCCCCCTGCCCCATAACACACGATGTGCCCACAGATCTCCCCCAGGGCCTCCCTCCAGGTGCAAGGGTAGAGTATCAAAAAATGCACACAATGCCTGATGGTACTTTTTTCTTTTCTTTCTTTCTTTTTTTTTCTTTTTGATCAAGTTTAATACACACTAGAGTAAGTCACAAAAGAGGGTACTGCAAGCCCAGAACTATGCTCACCCCCAGCCAACCCCCAAGAGCCCCCAAACAGTCCAGGAGCTGGATCCTCTGCTCTTGGAGAGAACCAAAGTGCTCCCAGGGAGGCCCAGGCATCCTTAAACCCTTCTTTTACCTCTGACCTCCCATCCTGCTCTTGGCCTACACTCAGTTGGCCCTTCCCTACCAGCCCCATCCTAGACACAGGCCCCTCCCTTCCCTGGGTCCCAGGACTTCTTCCCTCCTCCAGCAGAGGGACAGCAGCAGCAAGATGGTTCAGGGCCCTCAGGTCCGGTTGTCCAAGAGCAGCTGGGCTCTGACCCAGGGTGGAGAGACATCGCAGAAGGACTGTCAGGGTACTCAAGCACCCACACACTCCACATAATTGGCAGGGTACAGGCCAATGCGGCCACTCTGCAACTGGCCTTGGCACCAGCCCTGCTCATCCTCCTCGCTCATCTTCAGCAGTTCTTCCCCTGGAGGAAGGGGGATTGGTCACTGCTAACTGTTCTGGCCCCCAGCCATTCCCACAACTGGGTCAAGTACTGAGGGGAATGGGGTAATCTAAGAGCCTGACAGCAAGCTACAGGAGACCTGGCTCAGGCTGGGGGAGGCCATGGAAACCAGAAAGCTGCCCCACCCCGGATCCAGAGGCAACAATCAGGCCCCAGCTAGCTGGACCCAGAACAGCCTGAATGGCCAAAGAACTGGCTCTTGGGAATGAAGTATCTGGCTTCCCTTTTCCACACCCCTGCTCAGGCAAGTAAGGCAGGGACTGAAGCCTGAAAGAAACAGGAAAGGGGCCCCTAAGTACCTGCTCGGAAGCTCAGCTCATCAGCTTCCTGGCCAGCGTAGTCATAGAGTGCCCGCACCCGCACCCCAATGGCAGCCTTCCGGGGAGTCTCCTCATCTGACCATTCCTCATCCTGTCCACTGCTGGAAAGGGGAGGCAGAAAGGAGCAACAGCTCAGATCCCAGAATACCTTGGGCTATAGATCTCACCCAGGACTCAGGGCAAAGGGCTCATCCCTCGGAGGGATGCTGCAGAGGCAGGCAGGGAGGAGCTCAAAGACTCTAGTCACACCTCCACCATTCACAACTGTGAGCTCAGGTGCAATTCCTGTACACACAGCTGAGGTGCAGCAGAAGTGAGAGGGAACATGGAAACTGATTGGAAAATCTAAACCTCTGCAAAACCTAGCATCATTCCCTCTCCCGAGTTGGCCCTTAGGTCCCTGGCACCAATTTTCAACCCACTTCAGGCGTGAAGGGAGGAAGCAAAGGAAAGAAAGGCCAGATGGAGCAGAGCTGTTTCTTTGCCTTAGCCAGGCTCCCAGTTCTCACCCTGGGGACCCAGGGGACTGGGGTGGGGGTGCAGTGCCATCTCTTGTAGGTACGATACTGGTCAGAGTAACCTCATCGGGGCTCCGGCCACCCTTCTCCTTCCGGCTGATTGTCCTCTGTGTGTCCAAGGACCACTCCTGTGGGAACAGTGCTTAGGTCAGGCTGGGCTGCAGCTGTAGTGGCAGCAAGGCCATCCAGACCACCTTCAATGACCATACTTCATTCCAAGGCTGGCCTCTCTCCTCCAGACCACACTAAACTCAGCCCACCTCTAAGCCCCACCCAGCCTGCAACACGTGCCTCAAACTGTGGCCAGTTCATGGCCATGCCCGGCCCGTGGGTGCTGCGCCACCAGCGCAGATCCTCCTCATCACTGGCTGCCTCGATGCCTTGATGCAGGTCTCGGTGAAGTTCATGGAACCTATGGCCCAAGACACTCCATCAGATGGGGAAGTCCTAGGCCCCTATACTCCCAATGTCATTCAGCCCAGCCAAAGCAAGGAGGCAGAGGCAGAGGGGACCCAAAGCCCACCACACAGGCCATACTTGTCACTGCTAGAGAGGTCAAGGTGCTGGTGCAAGGTGAGTAGCATATCCTTAAAGAAGAGAAGTCGCTGGCGCTCAGCAGCCTGGCAGCTCTCAAAGGCCTGCTCCATGTCCTCCATGTAGCGCGGTGTGTAGCGATGCAGCTCAGCCAGCGTCTGCTCGTACTGCATTTTTGTCTGGGTGAAAGAGAAGGGAGGTGCCAGTGAGGATGGGACCACTCTCCACTCAGAACTCCACCAGCATTTACCAGGCACAGCCACCATGGACAATCGGGCCTGAGACCCAGTTCCTGTCCACAAGGACCCCAGCATCCTAACAAGGGAGGTGACATCCAGGCACAGTATCTGTAAGAGTCGGGTGGAGAATGAGATGGGGTCAACTACAGGAAAGGGTGTGAGAAATCAGAAAAGTTTCCTGGAGGAGGTAGAAACTGAATAGCACCTCAAAAGATGGGGAGGATCTAGATACGTAGCACTGGAGGGAAGGGCACTCCAGGCAGAGGGGGCAATCTGAGAGCCAGTCCCAGGTGGCACTCTATAGGAAAGGAGCTAGAAGTTCTTAATGGCTAAAGACACCCCAGTTGCCTGAAATCCCCCATTTCTCCCCCTAGGCAAAGTATCACCTTCTCTCAGGTCCTTTCTTTAAAAGATCACCTGGAGAGAGGGGAGGCAAACGAAGACTAGAGCAATAAGATGCTGGAGACCAGAAAAAGCATTCAGGGAGCAAGTTTCATTGAGAAAGCCTTGCCCCACGCCTGTACCTTCTCTGCCTCCTTGGTGCAGCGTCCCACCCGCTCTTGCAGTTTACGCAGCTGCTCCTGGGACGTGGCGCTGTCTGCCTTTGCATGGCTCTCCCGGGTCTGGGCTGTCTTCTCATCCTTCCGGGCTGCATGATAGCTCTTCTTGGAAGCCTCAACCTGACATGTGTGGGAACAACACTTGACCCTAGACACCATGGACCATCCCCCTTGAGTCCTATGCAGACCCTGAAGGGGCCTGTCCAATCCCCACTGAACCCAGCCTCACCTCCTTCAACCTCTTTAGCCAGGGCTTCTGGGCCTTGCGGAAGCCATCCTCTGCAGCCCGGCTCTCGCGGAAGCCACCCAGCACTGGCCGGTGGAAGGCCCCCCGCTGCCAGGTGCGAACTCGCTCACTGTCTGGCCCATGCAGCTTCTCCCGCACCTCCAGGTGCAGCTCGCTCAGCCGCTCAGCTGCGGTGAAGAAGGCATGCCAGGCCTTCTCCAACGTGCCATACTGGGGGCCTGCAGATGGATGGAGCTTAGGCCAGGCTGGGGGTGCCACCCCAAGCAGCACAACCCCTCTCACTGGTGCTACTCTGGGTGCCAGGCACAAAGGCAGGGGAGCGGGGTGCAAAGATGAATGCAGTGATGTCAGCTGCTGCTTACAAAATGCCTATTTTGTGCCCTGAGAGGGCAAATCTTACTCAATTCTTGTCTCTACCACTAGTGTGATACAGTGTCATTACCAACATGGAGGCCCAGGGAAACGGAGGCCCAGAGAAGTCAATTTAACTTGCCCAAAGCACTGGAGTGAAGCCGAAGGCAAGTCCCACAGCTTCTCTGAACTTCCAGTTTCTCCTCTAGAAAATGCACAGAGGACTGGTAGTATAACCCAATGGTAAAGCACCTGCCTAGCATGCCCAACGCCCTAGGTTCCATTCCCAGCACTAAAACAAAAAGAAGAAAGAAAAATGCATAAAACGGACCATCTCTATCCTAGATTTGTTAGAAATATCAGAGTAACTCACGGACATACTTTGCAAACTCCAATGGCACAACTATGTAGATAACCAGGAATTTAAAGGGAGGGCAGAAGTAGAAGCCCTGAACTTTCCACAAGTGTAAAAAGAAGCCGCCCTGAGGGTCCCACTCTCACAGTTCTCTCTGCTCCCTGCTGGGCCTGCGGATGGCTCACCTTTCTCCACGGCGCCTCTCCACTTACGAGCCCAGTCAGCCAGCTGCTGGGCATAGGCCTTCTCAATGCGAGCACGCTCCTGGAAGCAGCTGACCAGGTCTCCACACAGCCGGTGCCCATCCTCCACCCGCTGCACTGTCCGTCTATAGTTGCCAGCCTGGGGACACATATGAGAAGGGCAGTTTCACAAGAAGAAGCCCCCTCTCAGGTTGAGGTTGACAGCTAGGTTCCTCTTCTGGACAAGTGCTGAGCCCAGAGAACAGGGGGCATTTCAGTGCCACCCAAAACCCAGGCCCCAGCTGCTCACCTCCCAGAAACTGCCCCCGAAGGCCTCCCCTCCAGCGTCCTCTTCTGGAGCCATGGTGTCCCCGCAGCACGGAATGGTGGCAGATTTGGGGCTGTGGAGGGCAGATGGGCAGATAGGAAAGCTCGACCTATACTTTGGGAGCTAGGAAAAGACCTTCTGCTATCTCTGGGTCTTATCCCACTCTCATCCCCACCACCCAAGAACCATCAGAGCTAGGACTGAGCAAGCAGGGGGCTGGAAGTCCCCAAGCAGAGCCTTTAAAGGGTCAAAGATGGCAATTTCAAAGCTCTTCCACTTGCCCTAGGACTTCCCTTCTCTCATGTACCTGGAACCTAGAGATCACTTTAGGGACCTAGATGTCCAGCTCCAAGCTGCCACTGTGATCTGCCTTGAAGTGAATAAGAGCAAAGCAGGGGGTAAGGGTGGGGGCTTAGCGTGTCTAGGGCGGTGCCCGCTCCCCGATATAGCAACTGCTGTCAGAAGCCAGATTCCAGGCAGGAGAATGCCAAGCGGGTCACACGATCCAGCCAGGGATTAGGTGGCAGGCGGGGGTGTGTGGTGGGCAGAAGGCCCCACTCCCCGCATTCTGGATGAGAGAAGAGGACTCCTACCCAAGCCAGGGTTCCTCTTGCCTCCCCTTGAACAAGGCAACCCCGTTAGCAGACCAGGCCAAGTCAGAGGGTGGCCAGCCACAGTCCCATAGCTGCCTGGGCTGGCAAGAGCAGAAAGGGAGCCAAGAGGCCTAATCCCATCTTGGCCAGGAAGCGCAGACAAGTGCATTTTATTGTCCTACAAGAACGTCAGCTTCTCTAAGGTGGAAACCCCCTTCCCCAATAAGCTTCCATGCCAGGGTAGTGCAAGACTAAAACACGGCAATGAATGAAAAATGCCAGGGTCCCAGCAGTCATAAGGAGATACTCCTTCCCCTCCCCAACATCCACAGAGGTCCCTCAGTGCCCCATGGGTAACAAACAACACAGTCCTGCCCTCAAAAAGCCCAGAGTCTGATGCAACATGAGGAAGCCAGACAGGCCACTAGCCAGTTAGAAAAGTGTTCTCCAGGATGGCAAAGAGGGCAAGGCGAATTCTGATCCCGCAGCCACCACCTGGGGGACCAGAGGACACAGCGGTATGTGACCACTCCCGCACCCGCCTCTGGACAGGATCTCAGCTGTCCCCAGCACTGACTCACAGCCCCTAGAAGGAAACAGCTTCCTCTGAGCAAGCCCATGACCCAAGGGACAGTTAGGCTTGGGGGACAGAGTGTGTGCCTGCTGGTCCAAAGTGGGGCTCTGTCAAATGCTTCCTTCAAACTTCTGAACCTCTGCTCATCCTTCAAACTCAAATGGAGGCATCTTATCCATAGCTACTCCCCTCTGTCCCTCTATCCTCTGGACTCCCACAACCCCTGTAAGACCTCAATCAGGGCATATATCCCATGGAATGTGACTGACAGGACATCTGTCCCCTGTCATTGACAGACTTCAGCAGTTCTGAATTTGTGTTTTCCCAGGCACTGGAATCAGAAATAATTAGCTAAAAAAATAAAGGACTAACTCAGTGGTGGAACGTGTGCTTAGCATGTGCAAGACCCGGGGTTCAATCCCCAGTACCAAAAAGAAAAGAAAAAATGAATGATGTCCACCTGAAGACCAGGAAACCCACTGGCCTCAGCAGCTGTGGGAAAGCCTGGCCTTGGAGGCTTCCTGCCTCCAATTGCAGGAGGTACAGCTCAGCCCTCTCTGGAGACCTCATAGGGCTACAGGCAATGGAGGTATCTGAGCAAAGAGCAGCAGCCTCACCAAGGCTCTTCTTCACCTTGCTTCCTCTTAAGTGGGCCCCACTTATCCAGAAAGGACTTGCCAGCCAGAGAGAGAGAGAAAGAGATCTGCAGCCATAAATCACAGGGCCTTTGGAGCTAAACCAATGAGCCATCAGGGCTGGGGCGGCCCCTGCCTGCTTCAGCCTCCCTGCTCCCTGCTCCCCAGAGAGCTGCCCCCCACTAGTTCCCTCTCTGGCCTCAGAACAGAGCAGGCTGTGTGTACAGGGTTGGCACAGCTCCCCAGGGCCTCGCAGAGCAAACACAAGCTCAAGCCCCAGGCACAGCCAGGCCCCACAGCCAGGCTTCATCTAGCTCCTGGGGTGGGCCTTAGTCCCTGATGAGAAGGGTTGGCACAAGGTGAACTCAGCAGAAACCCAAATCAGGCCAAACACTCTGCCACAGGCAAGAGCTCAGAAAGCAAGTAAGGAAATCTTCCCAGGCCAAGGGAGCACACCTACTGGGCCCAGAGAAGTCTTCTGCAGCTTGGCAGGGTCTACTCACAGCTGCTGGGGCCAAGGTAGGGAGTCCTGGATTTCAGGGAAGAATCACTCTCCCCACCTGAGGCTGGAAGGTGGCCGGGCCCCACATCAGCCCTCACCCCTAACAGAAGCTGGGGGCATGCCCCTGAGAGGGAGCACAGCCACCCGGCCCTGCCCAGCGCTAGGTCCTGAGTCACAGGCTGCGCCCAAAAGCTTCTTCCCCAGCAGGCCCTCCCGGTCAGAGTCAGCCCACAGCCCTAGGATTTGAAGGCACAGGAGCGGGCAGTCGCTGGCCAGAACGGGGCAGAAAGGGGCGCTGAGGCCGGTGGGGCTGGCACCAGCAGCCTGAGCGCTCCGAGGCTGGGGGAGGGGGTGGCGCCGCGAAAGGGGGAGGAGGCCGGCCAGGGAGGGGCATAACAAAGGGGCTCTTTTGGAAACCCGACCTGCCGGCTGAGGTGTCTGCGGCTTGATGACGCACTCCAAACCCGAGACTCCACATCAAATCTTGGAGCCCAGGGCCTGAACGTCTCTGGCCTCAACCCTTACGGGACAGAGCCCCACGACAGACCCCACTCCACCCCTGCTTCGGCCCAGCGCTGCACAACTCTGAGCCCGTGAAGCCCACGCGGAGGTGGCAGGGCCAGGCCTAACCATGGAGGTTCTAGGACTTCTTGGTCAAACTTGTTGAACTTGGTTTCGGCGGGGGTGGGGCCAGCCCGTCACCGAGGAGGAGAGTGGGAGCCCCCAGACAGGGCCCGCACCGCGATGGACTCCAGAGGGTAGTCCTGCGCGGCCGCCCCAGGAATTGGGGCTCTTTGAAGAGGATCAGGGGTCGCCGGAGAGTGAGGCCCCTTTAGGGGCCCTAAGGCAAACGCAGGGAGGGCGATTTGGGACGCCTGGGGAAATGGTTTGACCCTCCAGCCCCGACGTTACCCAATCCCCTACAGGCCTGAGGAATCACGGAGTTGGCGGCGCCGCGAACGAGACGCCCCCTCGCCTCGGCGGCAGCCCTTCGCGGCTCCAAGAAGAGCCGGGTGGCTGGGGTCTCCCGGAGCGGGAGTCGGTCCCATTGCAAACTTCAGGAGCCTAAGGACCAGAGGGCGGGCTGGAGCCATCGCTCCCGCAGCCGCGTGTCCGCGCGTCCCCTCCAGGGCACTCACCGCGTCCTCCCTGGGCCCCTCGGCGGGTGGGGGTCCGGCCACGCTCCGGCCCGAGTCCTACCACTCCCCGCCCGGGCCGCCGCCTCCCGGAGCGCGCCCGGCCCTCCCCCGGGAAGCCCAGCCCCCGGCCCCGCCCTCTCCGCGCTCTGCAGCCCCAACCCCACCAGCCCGCGGCCCCGCCGCGGGAGCTCCAGGCACAGCCCAAACCCACGATTCTGGGGGCGTGGACCGTGGGGTCCACTGTCGGGCGAGGAACACAGGACCGACTCCCCAGAGTGGCGCCGCCAGGCTTTCAGGGAGTCAGATTTCGGCTCTGCCCCTCCGCAGGGCTTGGAAGAATGACCGAGTACCGGGTCTGCACCGGCACCCTCTGGAGGGGAACCCGTGGACGGGGCGGAGAGCTACTCTTACATTCTTACATTTTTTGCTGAGCGCGGTTTTCTTAGAATTTGGGGGAGGCTCACGCCTACCCTCTAGCATTAGGATTCCCATTTTACAGATGGTAGAAACTAACGCTCAGAGACCGTCAGAGGTTTGCCCGAGATCCCCAATCCGGCAAAGCCCGATTTCAAAACCGTGGTATATCTAGGCCCAGCTCGGTGTGCTAATCTGGGGCGCATTCTGAGGCTTGGGACAAACACATGGTGGGGGTGGGACAAAAAGGCACGAGCTCCTCCCCATCCATGTTCTTTAAAAAAAAAATTATATATATATATATATATATATATATATATATATATATATATATATATATTTGTAGTTGGACACAATATATTTATTTATTTATTTTTATGTGGTGCTGAGGATCGAACCCTGGAACTCACACGTGCTAGGCGAGCGCTCTACCGCTGAGCCACAACCCCAGCCCCCTCCGTGTTTTTATTCCCATATTTTGCACAATTCATTCTTAAATTCTTATTCCCCTCCACCTTCTTATCAACGTAGTAGATTTTTCCAGATCGCCACTCTGCCACCCAACCCTAAGTAAATCCCTCTTCCTCACCCCCTCCCAAGCCCCTCGGGATTTTTCAGAGCCTGCCTGTTATTTATATCCACTGGAACTGTCCACGAATATTCCCAGACTGACCTAACCGCCACCTGCTTGGCTTCCCTCCCCCTCCCTCTCGCTCCTGGGCCGGGCGACCCAGCGGCGGTGCCTTGCGTCCCGAAGACCTGCGCCAGCGCGGGCCAGCTAAGTCTTTGGGGCTCCAGGGGTCAAGGCGGCGCAGATTGGCTCCGGATTGGAGAGACCCGGTCGCGCTCCAAGAAGTGCGCCCCCAGGGGGATGGCGCGCTCTCTGGGAAGCCGGTGGGCTCCGCTGTTCTCTCTCCAGCACGTCCTCTTCCAACCCAGCCCCCACTCCCTTGAGGAGAGTGAGTACGTGAGCGCGGACTTTTAAAAGGCAGATTTAAAAATAGCAAAATCAAGTTGTTTCTAAATCCGGGAAGACTTATCTTTATGCAGATAAATCCTCTCACAAAATGGAAAGGAGGCCTGGAGAGAATGAATGGAGGTAATTTCAGAGGTGACATTAGCTGATGAGGGCTGATATGGGAGCTTGAAACTGCCTCAAGATGCCTGTGAGGCACCTAAGACGAGTCACCTTTGGCCTGAGGACTCTGGCCGCGTTTGGCAAATACGCCTGAGTAGTGGATCTGAGGATGTAGCTTCTGAAACCATTTTCAGTACTCACTGTCTCCTGGGGCTTGGGCACGTCCCTTCTCTCCTTATCTCTGTTCTTACCTCTATAAAACCTGACAGGTGAACTGGCTGACCTTCCACTGAGTCAAGGGCCCCAGCTAATATTGTAAAACAACTACAAATCAGAGGGACTGGAGAAATGTCTAATGACAGCCATAGTGTTTTGTATTATTTTAAATCAGTTAACACCCTACACAGTGCCTGAGGGCCTTTAGGCACCTAGACAGAAATTGTGAAAATATAAGAATGAAATTAATTACAGGAGTCGCCTATTAAAAGCTCATTAAAAATAAAGTTGGCAGCCAGGCTCTGGGATTTGGGGAAGCTAGGCCACAGAGACTTAGAAAACAGGGCCGTTTTTAAGACCACAAGGAGAAGGGGAGGTGGAGTGGAAAACATCTGGCTTCCCTTGGGTTCAGATCTGGAAGCAGAAAGCAGAAATGTTGCAGCTGACCCTAATTGTCCCTAAGGTGCTGGAAGGGAAAAAATAAAATAAACCAAAACCCAGAGCATACTGGGCTCCTTCAAAGGTGAAAGGAAACAGACATAATCTTAGAAAACCAACTCCCAGTGGGTGCTGCCCCCAGAGCTCAAATTTCTGTGCTCTGTAGCCAGGTCCCTTAACACACACTGCTCCACCAGTGCCATCCCCAACCTAAATAGAGTTCAAGATGAGATGCCCAGGGCCAGATGGCCCAATAAAGACAGAAAACTAGAGAGAGGTGGGTGGGCTCCGGGTACCAGGCTGGAGTTGGGGATGTAGCTCAGTGGCAGAGTGCTTGCCTAGCATGTGGGAAGCCTTGGACTCAATTCCTAGCACCCTAGCACGGGGAGGGGGAATTACCAGGTGGCAGTTTGGTCTGTAGCCAAATATCAGGACACTCACAGACTCACCTTTAGTTTCTGGAATGTTCTAACTTCTGTGTTTTTATTTATTTGCTTATTTATTCATGCATCCAGCCAAGAAAACATGTGACTTTTTACTCCTTGCTAAACCCTATGCAAGGTATTTAGAATATATAAACCAGGCTGAGCCCTAAGTGTATAACACTGATACAACCTAGATGTGAAGAACCATGGCAAAACAGGCAGGAGACACCACCTTTCACATGACATTGAATTGGGCTTGATGAGAAGGAATTAGTCATGTGGAAAGGCATTCTAGGCGGGAGCATCAGGGTGTGCCAAGCCTCCGGGTATTAGTGTCCTAGCAATTCTGTTTTTTTTTTTTTTTTTGTTATCTACCCTAGAAAAACATGTGTGCAGGTGCAGAAAGAATTACAAGGATGTTTGCATATAGTATTGTTTGCCGTGGGGAAAACTAGAAACAAATGTCCATCATGAAAAAACAAAAACAAATGTCCATCATGAAGGAGATAGTTAAATAACTTAATTTATGGATTACTCTGAAACAACTCAAGAACAGGGTTGAGAGAGATTGAACAGAGATTGATTCAGGACCTAGTGCATGCTAGGCAAGCACTCTAGCACTAAGCTACACCCCAGCCCAAGATAGAAATGCATTCTTTTTCTGGAGGGTGGGGTGCTGGGGATTGAACTAAGGAACACTCTGCCACTTTACCATGCTACCACTGAGGTACATCCCCAGTCCTTTTTTAGTCCCTTCTCTCTTTCTCTCTCTCTCTACACATACCCAACCTCTGCCTCTCCCTCTCCCTCTCTCTCTCTCCTTCTCCCTCTTCCCTCTCTCTCTACCTCTCTCTCTTCTTCTCCCTCTCTCTCTCCCTCTCCCTGACCCTCTCCCTCTTCCTCTCAGTCTCTTTCTTGTTTTTAAGACATAGTCTTCCTAAGTTGCCCAGGATGGCCTCAAACTTAGATCCTCCTGCCTCAGCCTTAGCCTCCGGAATCACTGGGATGATAGTGAGAATGAGGGACTTTTTTTTTTTTTGGTACCAGGGATTGAACCCAGGGGCACTTAACCTCTGAACAACATCCCCAGCCTTTTATATACTGTATTTAGAGGCAGGGTCTCGCTGAATTGCTTAGGGCCTTGCTAAATTGCTGAGGCTGACCTTGAACTCAGATCCTCCTGCCTCAGCCTCTGGAGCCGCTGGGATTACAGGAGCATATCACTGCGCCCAGCTGAGAGAAATATTCTTGAATGAACACCCAGGATACTGTTGAGGGAAGGAAGCAAAATGAAGATATGCCAAACTGTTTGGGGTAGTTATCTCTAGGGAGAGATCTCAAATTAGAAAGGGAGGGTTTTGTAATGTTAGAAAATTTAACACCTGGTGAGGCCAGGTGCAGTGGCACACACCTGTAATCCCAGTGGCTCGGGAGGCTGAGGCAGGAGAATCACAAATTCAAAACCAGTCTCAGCAAAGGCAAGGTGCTAAGCAATTCAGTGAGACCCTATTTCTAAATAAAAATGAAAAATAGGGCCGGGGATGTGGCTTAAATTCAATCCCCGGTACCCCCCACTCCCCCCACCCTGCAAAAAAAGAAAAGAAAATTTACAGCAAGGACATGGAATGTAGGTCAGTTGTGGAGTGCGTGCCTAGAATGCACAAATTCCTAGGTTCCATCCCCAACACTGAAAAACAAAAATTTATAATAGGAATGTACCCATATGTAAGTTATGTAATTAAAATGAAAAATGGGAGGGGTGAGTAGGAGTTGGGTTTAAACAATGCTGTTCAATAGAATTTTCTGCAATGGTTGAAATGTTCTATAGCTGTGCTGTTCAATGTGATAATGATGAGACTACCAAGAACTAGTGTGATGGAAGAATAGATTTTTTTTTTTTTTTTTGGATGGCAGGGGAGGTTCTCTATGCCCAGACTGGCCCTGAATTCCTGGAATCTCTCTTCTTACCTCAGCTTCCCTAGTAGCTGGGTCTATGGGTATGCACCACAGCACGAGTTATCATTTTATCATCTGTGGTTTTGTTGGGAGGGGATTGGGGCGCCGGGAATTGAACTCTGCATCTCATGCATGCTAAGCAGTCTCTCTGCCATTGAGGTATGCCCCCAGCACCGACTTCTTCTTTTTAAGAACTCTGTCAGCCTTGTGGAGAGTAAATTCAAGCCAGCAGAGAGCTGCAGGCAGGGCCAGAGTCCTCTGATGGCTACCTGTTTTAGCCTCTGGACATTGCCCTAGCATTCCAGGCAGGCAGCTGAGTAAAGTGTCCTGATTTAACAGCTCTGTTTTTAAGATCTCAGGGAACCCCAGGTGGAAAAACTGGTCTGAGTTATCCAGAGGGGTTAACCTCAGTAGGGGAGGCTGTTTCTGAGTTTGGAAGGCAAGAAGAACAGAAAGGCACCAGAGTGAAAACAGCAGGTTTCTGAGTGCAGCTACAGAGAAAACTTCTCCCAGGTCAGGAATTTGCCCAGGGCAGATTCTTTGGAAAGAACCACAGAGTTGGCACAAAGTGCCATGGGAGCTGCCACTGCACAGTCCACCTTTCAGCTTTGTGGGCTGGGAGGCTTCTGCTCAGGAAGTCAGCCCTGGTCCATCCTGGAGCCTCCTTTGCCTGTGAAGGAGGAGTTTTAGTGGAGGGTCTTCTCATTTAACAGGCTTTCAGGGGACAACCCTGTGTGCCAGACACCATGCTGCCTGCTCAGTCCTCAATTTGAAGAACACAAACAATATCCCTAACCTCATGGAATTTTCCATTAAAATTGAATAAAGGTGCCCCAGGAAGTGCCATTGCCTAGACTATTGTGATAAATGTCCAAATAGTGGAGTGGGGAAAGGGGAGTCAGGGTGCGGCGATAGTGACGTAGCTCAGTGGTAGATCAGCCCTGGGTTCAATCCCCAGTACTTAGTGTGCTTCACATGTGTGAAGGTGAACACTCCCAAAATCAAAAATAAAAGCACAGAGTGCTGAGAGAGAGAAAGGGGGGGGGGGACGTAATTTAGATTGGGGGAGGATCAGAGAAGATTTCTCCGGAATTTTAAGTTTCCCCGAATGATCCAAAAGGCAAATGGCAGCCAGGTGAAGAGGGAACTTACAGAAGAGCAGTCTAATGGAAGAACCCATATGCACACAGATCCTGAAGTGGGAGCCTGACCTCTGGAATAAGGGCAAAGTGGGTAGGGCATGGTGAGTGAGAGGCCCAAGATGAGGTAAGAGAGGCCAGCAGCACCCAGACACTACCAGGCTTTGTGAGTTTCTCTGGAGTGCAGGAGGAGGCCCTCGGAGGGATGTAAGCGGAGGAGTGAACTGAATGGATGTTGTGTGAGGAATGGGCCAGGATGAGACATCAGCAAACCATGGCCTACACAGCGCACAGACTGAGAATGGTTGTTATATTTTTAAATGATTGGGGGAAAAAGCAGCTGGGCATGGTGGCGCAGCCTGTAATCCTAGCGGCTCAGGAGGCTGAGGCAGGAGGATTGTGAGTTCAAAGCCAGCCTCAGCAACTTAGCAGGGCCCTAAGCAACTTAGTAAGACCCTGTCTCAAAAATAAAATATTTTAAAAAGAGCTGGGGATATGGGTCAGCAACCCTGGGTTCAATCCTTGGTACAAAAAAAAAAAAAAAAGGGAAGAAGAATATTTTGTAGGAGATTAACATTTCAGTGTCTATAAATAAAGTTTTATTGGAACATAGCCACACTTCATCTCTTCATGAATTGTTTGGAGTTGTTGTCACCACAATAGCAAAGGTGAGTAGTTGCAACAGATCGTGTGGCCTACAAAACCTCAAATATTTATTATCTGTCCTGTCCCTTTGCACAAAAACTAGGCTGGTGTATGGATTAGAGAGAGAGAAACAGCAGGAAAAATCAATGGGAGATTGTTGCAGTACTCCAAGGTGAGATGGTGATGGTGGGATGAGTTCTACAGTGGTTGCTGTGGAGTGTGAGATTGAAGCTGTGGATTGAAGTCATTTGAGTAAAGAGCCACGAGAACTTGCTGATGGGTTGAAGGTGGATGGTAAGGGACAGATACATTTCAGAATGATTTGTCAGGTGTGGTGGTGCATGCATATAATCCTAGTAATTTGGGAGGCTGAGGCAAGAGGATCGCAAGTTTCAAGCCAACCTGGGCAATTTAGTGGGACCTTGTCTCAAAATAAAAAATAAAAAGGACTGGGGATATAGCTCAGTGGCAAAGCACCCCAGAGTTCAATGCCCAGTACCAAAACAAAAAACAAAAAACAAAAAAAACTTCCAACCTGTGATTTTGGATTGGATCCTAGACCAGAATATGGCATTAATTGAACTCTTGGAAAATTTGAGTAAGTTTGTGGGATCTGATAATGGCATTGTGAGTATTAACTTGTGCATCTTGATAATTATGGCTCTGGATGATGCTACATTTGGAGAATTCAGCAAAGGTATAATGAGATTCTTTAACCTTTTTTTGCAACTCTGAAGTTGTTTCAAAAGGAAAAGTTAAAAAACAAAAATAGGATAAATAAATAAAATAAAGTTATGGGCTGGGGTTGTAGCTCAGTGGTAGAGCACTTGCCTAGCACATGTGAAGCACTGGGTTCGATTCTCAGTACCACATAAAAATAAATAAAATAAAGATTTGGTGTCCATCTACAAATAAATAAATAAATAAGGCTAGGGATAAAGAAAAACAATGACTCCTAGCTATTAAGGTGGAACATCTACATGGGAATGTCATTTACTAAGATCAGGGGTTCACTTTTAACACTGGGTGCAGTGGTGCATGCCTACAGTCCTGGCTATTTGGGAGGCTGAGGCAGGAGGATTGCTTGAGCCCAGGAGTTCAACACTAATACGGACAACATAATAAGATCTCATTTCAGAAGAAAAAAAGTTTTAATTTTAGATACATTTTGAGACATTGATGTATGTGATGTCCATATGGATAGGAAGGCAGGGGCGTGTGCTATTCTGGGCATCACTGGCAAGCTGGAGACCTGGAGAAGATATAGAAAACATGGTCCTCAACCTTGCAACGGGAGTGCAATGCCTAAAGTGGAGCTGGACTGAGAAGTGAGGAGAGAGGACAGGAACTCAGACACAGGTCTTGTCTGTGGTCCCCACGGTGTTCTGCTCAGCAATCATGAATCTCACGAGTCTGTGGCGTGCCACCTATTCATCCCATGTTACAATGGGGAAAAACTGAAAGAGTTGTACTACGAGATGCACAAGGACACAGGTAGGAAGTGGGGAAGAAAGTGCTGTCTAACCCACTACTGGTGAGCAAATTTCCCCTTTGGTAATGGTGAGCACCCATGGCAGAGAACGGTGAGTTAGCAGAAATTGATTCTCACACAGTTCTGCAGAGGATCCAAAACCTAAAATCCCAAATCACAGTTTTGGTATGACCACACTCTTTCTCCAGGCTTGGGGGAGATTGTTTCCTCATCTGGCCTCTGATGGTGACTGATGATCTGGAAACCTTTGGTTACCTTTGGCTTACAGCTGCATCACTCCAATCTCTGCCTTCATCTTCACAGGGTCTTCTCTTGTGTCTTTCTCTCTGTGTCTGAATCTCATCTTCTTCTGCCTCACTTTCATAAGTCAACCTACTATGCCAGACTAGGAAGCAGACCACAGCTGTTAGCTTCAGAAATCTCACAAAATGCTTCTTGAGCTTAAGTAGGCAGCCTTCCATAGTTTTTCTTCATCCATTTTCATAAATATGCCTCTCTGCAGAACGGATCAGCAGCCCTAATGCTGCTAACACCAATGTGGCTTGATCTTCTAGACTGCCTATAGTTATGACAAAACCCTCAGATTCTGCAGCTTTATGACACAGGGGTAGTTGAACATGAGGGGGTATGCACAATAAATATGTCTGCAAGGATGCCTACTTAGAGCACAGAGTGTTGGGCAGGACATGTGTGGAACTGTACCAACACACCAAGAGACCAGGCCAATGGCTTCACAAATAAAAACCACAGCTGCTCAGGCAGCTCACCCCACATCCTTCCACACCATAGCTGGGTTTTGTGTTTTTTGTTTTTGTTTTTGTTTTCCGGTATAATGCTCCTGTAGTTACAATGTCATAGTGGGACAGGAGCCAAAGCAGTAGAAAGGGGAGTGGGAAGAGGGGAATGTAAAGGAATGTAAATGTAGTTCTCTCAACCTCACTAACATGTGACTCATCTACCCGTACAGAACAGGCTTGGCTGTAACACAGAGAATCATTTTTCTTTCTGCCACTTGGGATTTTTGTAGTCCTTGGAAAAGACCTTTGGGAAAAAAACAGTAGAAGTCACTTCCAGAACTCAAACCCCCCTGATTTCTAATTCTCTGACTGCCTGTTCTTTCCAAGATAGCTATCTGACTGGTCAGGGCTTTTGAGACCAACAAGAACTTCTTCTCCACCTTTATCAGATCTTATTGATAAATAACATATTGCCAGAAGATTATATAACAACTCCTATTTGTGGAACATGTTATAGTTTGCAAAGCATTTCACATAGATTATTTCAGTACTCTGACAATTCCTGTGTGAATCTGGCTGCCTGGAAAAGATACCTGGCCTCCTGGACAGATGGAATTTCAAATAGGATATTGATTTAGTGCCTGGATGGTGCCTTGTGCCCCATAGTAAGGACAGAAGGTATTTGTTTGTTTGCTTGTTTTAATATTTACATAGTTGTGTGATACTTCCAAAGCTATCCCAAATTTACATATATATGTGTATGTATGTGTGTGTATATATATATATATATATATATATATATATATATTATTCTATATGTAACTCTATACATGTATCATTTGTTTTTTTGAGGTTCTGGGGATCAAACCCAGGGCCTTGTGTATTCTAAGCCTGTTCTCTCTCACCGAGCTACATTCCCAGCCCCAAATTATATTTTTGAGTATAATATTCAGTATTCCCAGAGGGTAGGAGTCATGCCTTCAATTAACATTATGATGAATTTGCTCATATTTGGGCATTTTATTGGAGATGCCAAACAACAAGAACTCTGGATGCTTTAGTTCTATTCAATATGTTTCCAATCCTTTGAAGGAATTTAGACTTCAGTTCCCTGCAAGCTCTGCAGAATCCCTGACCCTGAGGCTGTCATTTGCAAACCACTGCATGCAATAACCGTGTGTGGGAAGCCTGCACATATCATCTGTGTGGATTATGGACGGTTTTGCAGACTCAGCAAAGTGGATCCATACAGCTTGAACAGAATCAGCGTCAAGTATCAGCCTGCATGAGGAAAATGATTCCAACCAGACGGAAATTTCCCACGAAGAGACTAGAGTTGAAGGCTGGTTTTTGCTACTTTTACAGAAAGTCACAAGATCACAGATTCAAGACTGAAAGGGATCCTGTGGACCACTCAGCTACTCCTCTTTCATTTTATAACAAGGAAACTAAAGCATGGAAAAGCGAAATGATGAGCCCAAGATCACATAGCCTAAGTACAACGCTCTTTCTATTATACTATATTATCTGTTCCAGAAAACACCTCAATAAAGCCACATATTGTTTTGCAGATCAAAGAAACTGGCATTATTTAGAGTCATGCTCATGGTCTGCCCAGCTTCCAGTGTGAACACAAGACCTTCATTTGCTGTCACCAGCAGCTTTTGAGTGAGTTGCCTTGTGATGCCTTATGTCAAAAGTAGTTATCACAAGCAGGACCAAAATATCTGTAAATGGAGTTTCATGGCACAGAGTTTCCATGACATGAAACTGGAGCAATGCTACATCATTCACATTCACACTTTATTGGATAAGCAGTATCAAATATATGCATTAGGCTGGGAGGCTGAGGAAGGAGGATGGAAAGTTCAAGGCCAGCCTTTGCAATTTATCAAGACCTATCTCAAAGTAAAATAAATAAATAAAGGGCTGGGGATGGAGCTTAGTGGTAAAGCACCCCTTTCAATCCATAGTACCACAAAACAAACAAAATTATACATAATAAATATGTAAACAGGCAGGTTTCCACTGCTCATATGTGGTTCCTTCTAATCACCATGGAAAATTTGCCTGATCCCAAAAATGGATTCTGGGAAAATCTGGCATTAAGCAGGAATATGTCCCTTGTTCATGAATCCATTATAGCTCATTGTCACCTTTCTGCCTTTGCATCCCTTGCTCCCTCTGCCTGGAATGCCCTCCCCTTGCCCTCACTCGATCTCTCAAGATTCAGTTTAAGTGTCACTGTCTTTGGGAAGACTTTCTTGATATTGCCTCTTCTTTACTCCAAGCTAATTTAAAGTATACCTTTTTGGTGCCCCTTCCTCCACATTCCTGTGCTTCCTCTCCCCCTACACTGGTCATACTCCCTTGTTGTTGAAAGGTACATAGTTTTATTGCTCTTTTCAATCAGAAAGGTGGGACATCTCTGTTAGAGGGTGTTCAAAAGGGTTTATAGGGTTTGACTTGTGTTGGGTGATTTGGGGAAGATTTCAAGGACGTGGGGTTTTGCTCTGGATTGGAGGCTTTCAGGACATGTGGGTCATCTTATGATTGTCTATTGAAGGGATCAGAACATGCCACCCTCGACTATGCCACTTTGATGTACTTCTTATTTTGAGCTGAAGGTACTTGAGAAACAGCAAATGCAATGAAGATTCTGGATGCCCCCTTTTCAACTAAAAACAAGTCACAAGATTTCCCATGAGAAAGATGCCCTTCCTGCACTAGGGAAAGAACATTCTTATCATCAGAGGCTGAGAGTCCATCTTGGAATGGACCTGTACAAACCTAATAAAATAACTTTTAACTTCCATTATTTCCCCCATATACTTCCTAGTCACTGTCTAGTCACTTCCTAGGCAGTAAACTCTGACTTACTGCCCCTGGTTCCAGCTTCTGCTTGTCATATCCTCACAATTGATTGTTCCTTGTGTAAAAGGGTACACAGCCTAAGCTTTTGGACCTAATAACATCTTTGGGTCTTCCTCTTCCTTTTGAAGTCTCTCATGTACCTTCAAAAATATTATATAAGGGGCTGGGGTTGTGGCTCAGCGGTAGAGCACTCGCCTAGCATGGGCAGGACCGAGTTCGATTCTCAGCACCACATAAAAATAAAGGCATTGTGAGGGGAGGGGGGATAGTAGAGGATAGGAAAGGTAGCAGAATACAACAGTTACTAATAGGGCATTATGTAAAAATGTGGATGTGTAAGCGATGTGATTCTGCAATCTGTATTTGGGGTAAAATTGGGAGTTCATAACCAACTTGAATCTAATGTATGATATATGATATGTCAAGAGCTTTGTAATGTTTTGAACAACCAATAAAAATAAAATAAAATAAAGGCATTGTGTTGCGTCCATCCACACCTAAAACATAAATATTAAAAAAAGAGTTAAAAATATTAAATAAAAATTTGTATGCTTTTCTACTGTTAATCTGTTTTACATCAATTTAATTCTTAGGCCCAATCATTGACCCTAGGAAGGGAGGAGGTTTTTCCTCCCCTACAGTATATTCTAGAAAAAATTTTAAAGTTAAACTCATTTTAAACTGATACTTAAGAATATACAATTAGAAGACTGCGATTGTAGCTCATGGTAGAATGCTTGCCTGGCATGTGTGAGGCACTGGGTTCCATCATCAGCACCACATAAAAATAAATAAAGGTACTGTGTCTACCTACAACTAAAAAAATTTAAAAAATATATAAAGTTAGACATATTATGGGGTACAGTCTGGTGTTTCAATCGATATATATACATTGCACGTTTTAAAATAATCAGGTTAAATATATCTATTTCAAACATTTATCATTTCTTTTTTTGGTGGGGAGTATCGGGGATTGAACTCAGCAGCACTCAACCACTGAGCCACTTCTCCAGGCCTATTTGTATTTTATTTACAGACAGGGTCTCACTGAGTTACTTAATGCCTCGCTTTTGCTGAGGCTGGCTTTGAAGCCAGCCCCAGCAAAAGATCCTCCTGCCTCAGCCTCCCAAGCCGCTGGGATTACAGGCGTGGCACCGTGCCCCCGACTAACATTTATCATTTCTTTATGGTGGAAATCCTGCTAGTGTTTTTAAACATAAGGCACACTGTCGCTATTTTTATATCACCCTACTGCGCAATAGATAGTACACCGACTCTTCTCGTTCTTATCTAATCTCCGCAGTGACGTTAATAAAATCTATCTAGAAGAAGAAAACAAAGCTAGAGCTGTGATTGGCCCCAACAGGGGATGTTCGGTCAGTTGCGTAGCCTGGACAATGTTCCTATCTTTGCCTGTGTTCAGACACAAGCCACCAGGTCTTGCCATCACAATGGCAATGCCCAGGGGAAAGCCAGAGGAAAAAAAGCCACCGCCCTGCGCCGCGCGGCGAGGGGCCGGCCCCTCCTTCCACCCACGTCCCCGCACTCCGCGCGCCCCGCCTCCCCGGAAAGGGCGGGGCCCGGGGGGCGGGGCTGGGGCGCGACGCGAACTGGCCTGTGGCGTATTTGGCGGGAGGCTGGCTTCCCCCGGCTACCTGTGGCTGCGCGGGATTTCCAGTTTCCGCCCTGTCTCTCCCTGAAGCTTCTCAGTCCTCCCTCCATGGTCTCTGCGTAGGGCATAGTAGCCTTTCCCTCGGAGGACGCGATGGCTCCCAGGAAACGCCCGGAAGCCCAGAAGACCCCCAACGTGGCTGCGCGCCTCCGGAGCAAGAGAAGTCCCCGGGAGCTGGAGCCCGAGGCCAAGAAGCTCAGGGTGAAGGGCTCCGGTACTGCCTATGCCTGCTGCTTTAATGTTTCCGCAGTTTGGGAGGCCCGCGTGGGGTCGGGCGCCCCTAGGTTCTGAGGCAGCCCCAGGTCGCGGTGCAGCAGGTGGTGCTTTTCGCCGGCCCATGCGTCTGTCAGCGCCGGAGAGTTTAAGCTAATCCCCGCCCCCCGGTGGCAGGACGAAGCCGTGGGCTTTCACGTTCCTGTAGGTCCTAGGAATAATCCTAGCCTTCCTGGCTCGCCCTCTGCTGCATTTCGACAGGGCTTTAGCTGTATGTGCTTGGTTTCAGCTGCGAGAGCCCGCAATCCATCCCTCCTACCTGCCTTAGAAAGCTCATTCTCAGAGGCTTCAACCTGCAGTATAAGGAGCAGGGGCGGCTCAAAAGGCTGGGGATGGACCAAGTGGGTTTTGTCCATGAGAATAAAGAATTGGTTGTCTAGAGTTTGGGTACAATACATCTTGGCGATCCAGAGTTGCTTTTTTCTTATAGTTTAACATCCTCCCGCAAGTAACCTTTTTAAAATATAGAGCTATTCCAGACTGTATGGATCCTGCTGGTTTCCAGGAGAACCAATAGAATTTGAAACTAATACTTTGTCACCTCAACATTATGTAATACGGGATTTAAAGATGCTTCTTTTTGTTGGAAATGCATCTCAGTGGTAAAGCGCTTGCCGGCTCACCAGGCCCTCGGTTCCATTTCCAACACCCCTCAAAAAAACAAACAAAAATCTTTTCCTAAACAGTCATTGCTGCTATGCTGTCCTTTTATTGTGCATTTTATGTGATTTTAAGATTAGCACTCATCCCCACAGTGGAAAATGTTCTTTTTTCTTCTTCCTCTTCCTCTTTTTGATTAATGGCACTAAAGATTGAATGCAGGGGCTCACATTTGCTAGTCAAGCCCTCTACTGAGTTACACCCCAAGCCCCCCTCCCCCCCCCTTTTTTTTTTAAATTTTGAGAACAGGAACTCACTAAGTGAGTTGCCTGGGCTAGCCTTAAACTTGCTGTTTTCCTGCCTCTGCCCCCCCTCCCTTGCTGTGATTAGAGGCATGTGCTGCCACACCCAGCTATTCTTATGTATTTGTTTGGCTCAGCTCTCAGGAACCCTGCAAAATCATATTTAGTTTCACTTAAAAATTAGTGTTTGGGGGAGTTTGGGGAAGGGGTGAGCTTCTACTCCTCTCTTCTTTCTTGTGCTGAATGGGACTAAACAGACTATAGAAAAATGATGTGACAGATTGGCCACGATGAATGAAACAGTAAGGCTTTCTTTATAGGATTTCAGCTGAAAAACCTTCCCTGAGATCAGAGAGGAAAATATGTGTCTGTTCTTCTTGGCAGGTTCTAGCAGGAGATATGACTCAGGCTGCCTTTGGGCAGGGTTGGCTAGCCTGCAGGTCCCGCCACCAAGCAGCAGCATCGTCAGGGCCCTCCACCAGTATAAGTTGGGCAAAGCTGCCTGGCCATCATTACAGCAGGTGAGGCATTTCCTAGCTGAAGTGCTCAAGGATTTGCATGATGCTTTTTTTACTATTGGACACTCCAACACTAGATAATGGGTTGGTTTAGCAGGTTGTCAGAGTGATCAGATCACCCTGACCCTTCCATCTGGCCTTCTAGGCATTCCAGGGAGAAAAGTCTTACATTGTAAAGGTCTCAGCTGGAATATACTACATTGTAGTTCATGTACAACGCAGATATTTTCATGCACAGGGCCAGGCAGCTTTCCTTTGGTGGGAAGACTTGACTCTAAGACTCATCTATGAAGGAGCCAAGAGATTGGTAGTTTACACAGGTTTCAAGTCAACTTAATTCTATTTTCTCTATGTCAGGGTCTTCAGCAGTCCTTTTTGCACTCTCTGGCTTCTTACCGGATATTCCAAAAGGCTGCTCCCTTTGACAGAAGGGCTACATCCTTGGCATGGCACCCGACTCATCCCAGCACCCTGGCTGTGGGTTCCAAAGGGGGAGATATCATGCTCTGGAACTTTGGCATAAAGGAAAAACCCACCTTCATTAAAGGGGTAAGCAGTTCCAGGTGCCAGATGGTAGTACTGAAGAGTTATTTGATGAAGGAATGAAAGGAATGTTGACATCAAGTAGCCAGATGTTTGGGATCAAAAGTAACTGGGCACTTTTAAACATATAAATGGTAATGAACTCAAATATTTATTGAATGCCTGCCCTTGAGATATTCAAAGGTATAGATTTAATGATCACTAAGTCCCTTCTTATCTCTTAGGTCCGTCTTTTCTTTCACTCTGTGTTTAGCCACACCAGCTATTTCTGTTCTTGAGACTTTGATTGGAGTGCTTTTCCCAAGGGCTTCTTATGATTGACTCCCTATTATCCTTCAGGTCTCTTCTCAATCTACCTTTTCAAAGAGGCTTTCACTGTCTCTCCTACTCAGAACGTAGACCCTACCCCACCTGATCATTCTCCTGCTTCACGTTCCCCCTCAAATGTTTATTGGTGTCTGAAAATACTGTTTCTTTGTGTGTATTTACCCACTGGAAAGTTGACTCTATAAGGGAAGGGACCTTGTCTTTCTTGCCACCATGCCTGGCAAAATTTACCATCTTAAGCAATTGTTTTTGGAGACAGGGTCTCACTATAATTGTCCAGGCTGGTCTCAAACTACTGGGCTCAGGCATGCAGCCTCCCCAGTAGCTGGGAGTACAGTTCAATGGCAATAAGTAAATTGTGTAATCAGTTGCTATACTTTTTGAATGTTGGGACTAACTGAGCACACATCTGAGCTGGATTGAACATCAGCTCCCCACTTTTCAACTGTTCTTGTGTTTTTCTTTTTGGTACTGGGGATTGAACCCAAGGTTGCTTAATACTGAGCCACATTCCCAGCCCTTTTTATTTTTTTATTTTGAGACGATCTTGCTGAGTTGCTTAGGGCCTGCTGATCTGCTGAGGCTGGCTTGGAACTCATGATCCTCATGCCTCAGCGTCCCATCACTGAGATTATAGGCGTGTGCCACCATGCCCCAGCTTCAGCTCTGGTTTAGAGTTGGAGGAAATGAAGGGAAATCTGGTATGAGATCTCATAAATGGAAGGGTTTGAGGAACAGCCCATCCAAAAAGGCCAAATTAGACAGGCGTGGGAGGGTTGCCATTCAAGGTGTGAAATGGTTGTTAAAGAAATCAAGTGTCAGAAGCCAAAGGAAAGCCTGCCAGAGAATTGTCGAGGATAGAACTTGTTGGGTTTCCTGCCTGCCCCTCTAATAAGGCAGGTGACCACTAGGAAGGGAGCTTTAAATTGAAGTCAGAACTAAGAACTTGGCAAAAAGAGATTTATTTTTTTCCAAGAATCTAGGACATGAAAATAGAGAAATTTGATTTGTTAAGCCTGGAGATGGTAAGAAGCAGTCTAAGGTATAGGGGAAGTGGGTCCCAACTAAAAGGGAAATGACAGCTACTTTGAACTTGTGCCAGACTGAGGCTGGCTGCTTTTTTTTTTGGTTTTTTGCATCACAATTTTTTTTTTCTTGTGGTGCTAGGGAACAAACCAAATACCTTGTGCATTCTAAATACAGTCTAGCAGTGGAGCTACATCCCTAGCTCCTGATGACACCTTTTGCTATTATGTGCATGCATCTAAAGTTGCCTTATGCCATCACAGAGGTTGACCTGGGCATTTGAACTTTGTGACTTGTGGGCAGCTAGCTTGGTGTAAAGGAAGGGTATACTGATCTAGAGAACGTATTTTTTATCCCAGATGTGAATAGCAGAAAGTTGATTTGAGACCAGTTACTAGGGGATCAGCCATGCCACATTTTGTTACTTAAGTTATCTGACCTTGGCTGTGCTTGTCATATTTTTCAGGCCCCTTGGTTAGGGAACATAAATTACATTTTCAAAATGAAGACAGCTTTACTTTATTCTTACACAATTTATGTTGTGTTTTTGTTTTTTTGGTACCAGGGATTGAACCCAGGGGCATTTACCACATCTCCAGCCACCCCCTTTTTTTTAAAATAAAAATTTTTAAAACTTTTTTTTAATACCTTTATTTTATTGATTTATATATGGTGCTGAGGATCGAACCAGGGCCCCGCACGTGCCAGGCAACTACTCTACCACTGAACTAGAACCCCAGCCCCTAAAATAAATTTTAAAAAATATTTTTACTTGTAGCTGGACACAATACCTTTATTAATTATTTTTTTTTATGTGGTGCTGAGGCTCTAACCCAGTACCTCACACATGCTAGGCAAGTGCTCTGTCACTGAGCCCTCCAGCCCTTTTTAGACAGGTTCTTACTGAATTGATTAGTTTTTCGCTAAGTTGCTGAGGCTGGATTTGAACTTTCTATCCTCCTTCCTCAGCTTCCCAAGCTGCTGGGATTATAGGCACGTGCCACCATGCCTGGCTATTCTTATACAATTTATGTTTAACATAAAAATTCAAAGAGTAAGAGTAAAGTATAAAGAATAAAGTAAATATGATCCCAGACTCCCATTTTCAGCATGTCTTTGTTCATGTATATAGTGTTACACACATTCATTCTCCCATTACTTTTTTTTAATGTATTGTATTAGTTGTAGACGGACACAATACTTTTATTTTATTTATTTATGTGGTGCTGAGGATCGAACCCAGTGCCTCACACGTGATGGGCAAGTGCTTTATCACTGAGCCCCAGCCCCAGCCCTTCTATTCTCCTATTTCTGTTATTACATAAATGTTCTATCATAGAATCTGATGTGATTTACTTACATCAAATATTCTAGTTTAATTATACCATACCAGGGGAAGACCATTTAAAAATATCTTGTAATTTTGTTTTTTTGAAATGCCTTTGGTTTTGGTATCAGGATAATGCTGACCTCATAAAAGGAGTTGGAAAGTATTCCCTCTGCTTCTATTTTCTGGAAAAATGTGTAGATAGAATTGGTATTGGTTCTCCCTTTAATTTTTGTAGAATTCACTTCAAATTCACTTGGGCCTGGAGTTTTTCTTATTTTAATATTATTTTTATTGAGGTGTATATAGTAAACTACATATTTAAAGTCAACAGTTTGATGAGTTTTGGACATATGTATACACAATCACCATAATTAAAATAATGGACATATCTATCATTCCCAGAAGTTTCCTAATGCCCATTTATAATCCATCCTTTTCTACCCTTGGTTCTGTCCCCTGGAAACTACTTCTCTGCTTTCTATCCCTATAGATTAATTTGTATTTTTTAGAACTTTATATATATGCAATCATAGAATATGTAATATGTGTTTGTTTTGGTCTTACTTCTTTCACTCAGTATAATAATTTGAGATTACATTTTTATGTGTATCAGTAGTTTGTTTTTCTTTCTGAGTAGTGTTCCATTATAACAGTATACTATAATTTATCCATTCACCTGTTGAAGAACATTTGGATTTCTTTTTCAGTTTTTGATGCCTACAAATAAAGCTGCTATGACCATCCATGTATAAGTACTTGTTATAGACATGTTTTCCTTTTGGGTAAATACTTAGGAGTAGAATAGCTGGGTTGTAGGGTGAGAATCTTTGAAAGATGTTTTTTTTTTTGTTTTTGTTTTTTTTGTTTTTTATGGTGCAGGGAATTGAACTCAGGGCCTTGTGCATCCCCAGCATGTGGAATGCAACGAGTGTTTATGTCTGTAGGAAGGTGAAGGGATGAGTAGCTATCTGATATTTTTCTCTTTGTATAATGAGCAAAGAGAAATCAAAAGGTAATGGGAGGGGGCTGTGGCTTAGTGGTAGAGCGCTTGCCTAACATTTGTGAGGGTTCTATGCTCAGCACCACATGTAAATAAATGAATAAACTAAAGGTCCATCAACATCCAAAAAAATTTTAAAAAGAAAACAAAAGGTAAGGGAGGGGAGAGGGTGGCAAAATGAATAATGAAAGGTTTCAGAAATTTTATTTATTTATCTGGTTCTGGAAATGAACCCAGGGGTGCTTAATCACTGTGCCAAATCCCCAGCCCTTATTTTGAGACAGGGTATTGCTAAGTTGCTTAATGATTAGTGGTACTGAGCATTTTTCATATGCTTTTTGGCTACTTGTTTATCTTGTTTGGAAAAATGTCTACTCAAGTCCTTTGCCTAGTTTTAGTTGGGTTATTTAGGGGTTTTATTGTTATCGTGGGAATTTTAAAAATATATTCTGGATATTAACCTCTTGTAAAATTTATAACTTGGCAATATTTTCTCCCTTTTCATAAGTTACTTTTTCGCTCTATGGATTGTTTCCTTTGATGCTTGACTAATTTTTAATCATTTAACCCAACCTTGGAATAAACCCAACTTGGTCATGATATATTTATCCTTTACAAATATTACTGTATTGAGTTTGCTAATATTTTGCTTAGGATTTTTGCATCTGTGTTTGGGTGTAAAATTAGCCAGAGATTTTGTTTGTTTTTGTTTGGGTACCAGGGATTGAACTCAGAGGCTCTCAACCACTGAGCCGTATCCCAATCCCTATTTTATGTAGAGACAAGGTCTCACTGAGTTACTTAGCACCTCACTTTTGCTGAGGATGGCTTTGAACTCACAATTCTGTCTTAGCCTCCTGAGCCACTTGGCCAGAGATTTTTGTGTGTATAATACGTCCCTGTCAGATTTGAGCATCAAGGTTACGTTTGTCTCATAAGCTTGGGAATTATTCCCGGTTTTCTAGTCAATGGATAATTTAGGACTAATAGCTCTTCTTTAGTTTCCTCATCTTCCTCTTTCGTTACCTTCCTGAACACTTCAAACCAAAAGATATTAAGTAGGGTCCAGCAAGAGAGACTTACGTAGTGGGGAGGAATGGTAGTCTGGTGTCTGGTGCTGGGACCCATGAAGTGGAGGTGGGTGTCATTTCAGATGGTGACAGAGTGGCATCTTAGCAATAGAGTCAGCACCCAAATAGGCTAAGGAGAGCAGCATCCATGCAGGCAGGGGCAAGGGACAGTGGTATCCTGTGGTGTCCTAGGACACGAAATAGTGAAGCCTGAGAGCTGGTAGGAACAGAATATTGTAGTACTAGCAGTGAGAATTTGGCAGACCATGGGCACTGATTAGAATGTTCTATAGAGCAGGGAAGTGTGCCAGTTAGTGTGTTGGGTTAGTTCAGTGCTTGTTGTGTAGATCTTGTTCCAGCCTATCCTGCTGGATAGTAGCAGCATAAGGCAGAAGTGGAGAAGGAGCTCTTGGAAATAAAAAGTTCTTAAAACAATGCCTGCTATAAATTGAGCACTTAATAAGACAAAGCTATTAATGTTTTTACTTATTCATTTATTTATTTCTATAGTTCTGGGGATCCCAGGGCCTCGTGCATACTTGGCAAATGCTCTACCATTAAGCTATACCCATAGCCCTTTTTATTTTTAAAAAGAGTCTTAGCTGAGTGTGGTGGTGCATGCCTGTAATCCCAGTGGCTCAGGAGGCTGAGTCAGGAGAATCGCAAGTTCAGAGCCAGGCTTAGTAATGGTGAGGTGATAAGCAACTCAATGAGAGCCTGTCTCTAATAAAATACAAAATAGGGCTGGGGATGTGGCTCAGTGGTCAAGTACCCTGAGTTCAATTCCCGGTACCTAAAATAAATAAATAAATAAAGGTATTAAAAAATAAAACAAGGTCTTGCTGTGTTGCCCAGGTTGTCCTCAAACTTGCAATCCTCCTGTCTTCAGCCTCCAGAGTAGCTGGGATTATAGGCATGTGACACCCCACCTCCTTTATGAGGGCGTTTTCTGGGGTGATATAGAACTGTTCTGCATCCTGATTTTTGTAGTAGTAGTTCAAATCTGTTATGTGTTAAAATTCATAGAACTCTATACTAAAAACAGTCATATTTACCGTATATTAATTTAAAGTATAAAATAAAACTATATAACTAAAGTCTCAAAGAAGACTGTGGAGAGCATCCTGCTGTCCAGGTGTCTCAGCTGGCCAGGCTCAGTTGGAGTGGAGTATGTTTACCCAGGCCTGGGTCCTCACTTCCTGGTCCATCATCACTCACTGACTTTTTCCTTCCTTCTGATAGATTGGAGCTGGAGGGAGCATCACTGCGCTGAAGTTTAACCTTCTCAATACCAACCAGTTTTTTGCCTCCTCAATGGAGGGAACAACTAGGCTGCAAGACTTTAAAGGCAACACTCTCCGAGTTTTTACCAGCTCAGATACCTGCAAGTGAGTAGTTTAACTAGTAAGGGAAAGAGCTTGTAAACTTCAGGTGTCATTCTGTCGAGGGCATCTTATATAATTATGGGGGGTTGTGCTGGGGATTGAACCCAGGGGTACAGTACTACTACTATATCCTTGGCTCTTTATTTTGAAACAGGGTCTCACTGTCAAGTTCCAGGCTGGCCTTGATTCTCCTGCCTTGTTAGTCTCCTAAATAGCTGGGGTTATAGTTGTGCGCCACAACACCCACAAACTGGCGAGAGCATCTTAAAGTCCCATTTTTTTTTTTTACTCAGAGCTGGTACATGGAAGAAAGGGAAGGTGTTAACCACTTTCTCCCACTATTTCCCTTCCTTTTCTTCCTCAAACTCTTTAAATTTTCTGACCTTGGTCCTGGTGGGTTATTGGTTTGGGAAGGTGTTCCAGAACCTCAGCCCTTCTTAGTGAAGGAAGGGCTTCAGCAATTTTTGTTTTTTGGTGGTGCTGGGGATTGAACCCAGAGCCTCATATGTGTTAGGCAAGCACTCTACCAATCAGTCGTATCCCCAGCCTGACTTCAGCTCTTCTGTAATTCATTCCCATATTGCACTAGACCTTGACTCTCACATGACAAGTTGACAGGGCCTAGAAAGCCTCTTAGTGAAACAGGAACTAAGAACTGAAGACTTAATGCCCTCCATTCTCTAGAGTGTAATGACCTGGCCAGCTCCTTGGTGGAAGCTTAAATGGATTCAATCCTCTCCTAAGAGCAAATGGCTGGAGAAACTAGAAAATGTAAGTTACTTTGATTTCCAGCCCAAGGCATGCTCCCTAAGGAATTAGTGAGGATGTAGAGTCTAAATAACATTAGGTGTTATCCCGAGCTACCCCACACCGTGAGAAGTACATGAGCCATCATGACAGGTAACTGGACACAAGGCTCCAGGTTATTCTTTCCCAAGAAGCCCTTCCACTTACAGATAGTCGGCAAGGGTGGCAAAAGACCATGTGGTTTGGGCTGGGGTTGTGGCTCAGTGGTAGAGTGTTTGAATAGCATGCATGAGGCACTGAGTTCAGTCCTCAGCACCACATACAAATAAAATTGTGTTGACCTAAAACTGAAAAATAAACATCAAGGAAAAAAAAGGCCACGTGGCTTGGATTTGATGGCTTCAGAAGAACTATGTGAATTGGAGCTCTCCTGGCTGGGAATTAGGATCCATGAAGAACCCTTCCCAAAGAAAGCCCTCATCCTCAAGTCATCTGCAGAAGAGCTTCTGGATTGTGTGTGCTTTTTCCCTAAATGCTCAGAAGGGGGCAGACGTTCATTTCTAATCAGCTATGAGGAACAAAGCTGGAGAATTCCTGTTTGATTTGTCATCTCTTTTGGCCCCAATCTACCATCTCCCTCTACCAAGTGATGGAGAAGAGAACAGGAAATGAGGCTTCTTTAGAACCTGGGCAGTCTTAGGCAAGCTAGCCTTGGGACTTGCCCTATGAATATGAAGTCAGTGACTTTCTAGCCCAGGATGCTGGGGCCAGCAGTTAACAGGGTACATTTCTAAACCCTAGTACCCCGTTCATTCTGGATGGTGACAAGTCTGAGTGTTCCTCACTGGGGATCCATGGCAAGACAATTATTCATTCAACAATTTATTTATTGAATGCCACGGTGGGTTAGACACTGGAGCTGTAACAGTGAATAAATGGACCTGTCTCAGGCCCCAAGAGTCTGATGGCACAGTCTTTCCCTTTAGCGTCTGGTTTTGCAGCCTGGATGTGTCTGCCAACAGCCGAATGGTGGTCACAGGAGACAACGTGGGGCATGTGATCCTGCTGAACACAGATGGCAAGGAGGTGCGTTCTCTGTAGCCAAGGTCCTCCCTGTCCCTCCCTTGCCCCTGACTCAGTTCTGTGTCCCCACCTGAACCAGGCTCTCTTCTGCAGCTTTGGAATCTCCGAATGCACAAAAAGAAAGTGACCCATCTGGCTCTAAACCCCTGCTGTGACTGGCTACTGGCCACAGCTTCCGTAGATCAAACAGTGAAACTCTGGGACCTGCGCCAGATTAGAGGGAAAGCCAGCTTCCTTTACTCGCTGCCACACAGGCATCCTGTCAACTCAGGTACGGCAGCCCACGTCTCAGCTTTCCTGCAGACCCTGCCTATCCCACCACTGCTGGGGCTCTTTCTCAAAGTTTAGAAGGTACTAGGTCAGACTTTTACCCTCATAGCATCTACCAAACTGATATCTGGAAACTCTTCTGGCTCTGGCCCTTTCCATTGGCTGCTGAGTTTCTATATTTTTGTTCACAGCCAATTCACCTCTCTCTGCCACCCATCTAGAGAAGAGTGAGAGACAGGGTGCCCTGCAAGAGAAGGCCTTCAAAGGCCGGGATAACAAGGGGCTTGAGTTCTGTCAGCTCAGGGGCTTTTTACTTTGCCAGCTTGTTTCAGCCCTGATGGAGCCCGGCTCCTGACCACTGATCAGAAGAGTGAGATCCGGATTTACTCTGCCTCCCAGTGGGACTGTCCCCTGGACCTGATCCCACACCCTCACCGTCACTTCCAGCACCTAACACCCATCAAGGTGAGTGATGGAAGGAAGACAGCTGTGATCACTGGGGCAGACAAGGTCTGCCCAATCCCAGATCTCTTCTTGTTCTGATAAAAGCAGACTCTTAATCCTTTGGTTCTCTTTGCTCCTTCTCTCTCACTCCTGTGATTCCATTTTGTTGAATTTTGTTCATGTATCTCTGACAAGCTATTTTTCCGAGTTCTTTTCAGCCCAATCCTGATCTGACTGGGCGTTTTCTATGATCCTGACCCTCTGTTCTGTCCTGTTGCAGTTACATGTGTATGCAGCTGATCCACAAACTAACCTTCGCCTTCTTAGTTTGTCTTGCAGGTTTAGGTGGCTTCTAATAATAGAAATAAGTCCCTTACTTTCCCAATTTGGATCTCCGTTTCCTCATCTGTAAAAAGGGAATACTAGTATCTAACTGATAGGGTTGTTGTGAGGATGAATCAATATACTTAAAGCACTTGACACCATACCTAGCACCTGGTGAGTACTTAGTAATGATGATTTAGTACCCCATGTCAAATCCAGTAATAAATAACATCAAGAATCATCCAGCAGTTGGTATTCTTGCTAATAATAATTTGTCCTCATCTCTCTTGTATCCTGCCAGGCCAGTTTCTCATCTGTGATTTGTTAGTGACTTATTTCCAAGCTACTGCATATCCAATTCCTCCTTCTTACAAATATGTCTTTCCTCCTTCAAAACCTCCATGACCCAAGTGTGGTGGCAACTGTAATCCTTGCAACTCCAGAAGCTTAGGCAGGAGGATCCCAAGTTCAAGGCCAGCCTCAGAAACTTAGCAAGACCCTTAGCAACTTAGTAAGACTCTGTCTCAAAAAATAAAAAAGGCTGGGGAGGCTGGGGTTGTAGCTCAGTGGTAGAGCACTTGCTTACATATGTGAGGCACTGGGGTCTATCCTCAGCACCACATAAAAATACAAATAAAATATAAAAACAAATAACTAAAAAAAGGGGGAGTGGGATATGTGACTCAATGGTAAAGCACCCCTGGTTCAAATTCCCTAGTACCAAGAAAAAAAAAAAATTCATCCAATTCTGTCATTCCAGTGAATATCAGATTTGTTTCAGGTAAGGCAAATTGGAGAAAATGAGTTTCCTCTCATTTTTTAGTCATTAGTAATTTTTTCTATCCTAGCCTACCAAACTCTACTCTACCCTATCCTATCCTACTTTGGTGCTGGGAATGAGTGAACCCAGGGTCACTCTACCATTCAGCTACATTCCCAGCCATTTTTATTTATTTAGAGACCAGGTCTTGCTAAATTGCCCAGGCTAGCCTCAAACTTCTCTTGCCTCAGGCTCCTGAGTGACTGGGATTACAGACAGGTGCCACTTTACTTGGCATCACTATCAATTTTATACTCTTATTCGTGTGTCTAGAGGAGGTTTATTAGTGGGGTTATGTTAGAACTTACATCCTATTTGGTTTTGGTCACCAGAGGCTTTTTGCTTTGTTATAGGATCACTTCCTAGGTTAATGCCTGGGCCAAGCTGATAAATAAAACACTTATCAAGCACTGGGGGTGTTGCTTAGTAGTACAGTACTTCCCTAGCATTCATGAGGCCCTGACTTTGATCCCCAGCACTGAAAGAAAACCACATTTATCAGTTGAAATTATCTCAAGACATGCAAAAGAGATTGAAGGTATGAAAGTGTCTTAAAGGCAAGGGAGGCCACCTAGAAATTAAAAATTTGCAAAGGTAGATGCACACACAGTAGAAAACCATCCTTGTAATTTCAAATAAGTCTTACCTCCCACTAGTTATGTTACAGGCTTGTTAGTGGCAAAGAATATGTTTATTTTTGCAGTACTAGGGATGACACCCAGGGCCTCACATGTGCTAGTCAAGCACTCTACCACTGAGCTACACCCCCAGCCCCACAAAGAATACTTTTAATGCCCCTCTTAACGAGGTTCTGTATTTAATTTTGTGGCCAACCTCTCCATCTCCTAGGCAACCTGGCATCCTCGGTACAACCTCATTGTTGTGGGCCGATACCCAGATCCTAATTTCAAAAGTTGTGCCCCCTATGAATTAAGAACGATTGATGTGTTTGATGGAAGCTCTGGGAAGATGATGTGTCAGCTCTATGACCCAGAATCTTCTGGTATCATTTCGGTGAGGCTTGGGCACTCATATGATGGGGCGGGGAAGCAGGAATTCACCCTACCTCAGCAGAAATTAGTCCTGTGTGCCCTTCTGTCTCTACCAATACCTTCACCCTCTCTTCATGTTGATACTCTTGTCTCTGCAGCTCAACGAGTTCAACCCCATAGGGGACACGCTGGCCTCTGCCATGGGTGAGTAGAAGCAGGTGTATCTCGGAGTGGCTAAGCCCAATACTACTCCCCAAGTTTCAGTGCAAGCTAAGCTCAATTTAGTCCTTCCACATTCACCTCAGGGCAGTAGCCAGTGAAGATGACTGGGATACAGTGGTCTCCCTGGCCCGGGCCCTCTTCCCTCATGCATTATCATGGTCATGGCCATGCCTGGTTGCTGTCCAGTTTCCTAGCATTTCCTTACCAAGACCTAGGTTCCTTGGACCAGCCCCGAGCTCTCAGACTGATAGTGGAAGGTACAAGTCAGACTGTTCTTATTCTTTCTAGGTTATCACATTCTCATTTGGAGCCAGGAAGAGGCTAAGCCATGGGATGAAAATGAGACACATTGAAGAAAGTGTGGGCAAAGCAGCAGCTACGAGGCCACAAATGGAAATGAGTGCTATGAAGAGGCAGCTACCTGTTACCGGGCCAAAAGTATCCAAGTCTTAGGATTGAAGACGGGCACTGTGGGATGGGGACTGGGACATTGGAATGTTACTGCTTTTGACAGCTCCAGAAACTTAGGGTGATCCAGCTGCCCTAAGAGTCCTGTTATATCTAGCCTGGAGCCAAGCTTACCCTGAAGCTAAAGTACTTTTCTCCTTTCTGATAGGTGGTGGCTGAGTGATCAGGGCGTGGTTTTTTTTTTTGTTTTTTTTTTTTTTTTTTTTGGTTTGTACTCACTATTGACAAGGCCAATAAAACCAAATCCAACTGAGCTTCTGAGTAGATATGGCACTGACCTGGTCAAAGGGGTACTGGAGTCTCAGAAATGAAAAAAAGGCACAAAACCAGCATTCACAATCCAAAACTTCATTCTCCGGGAGCTACCTCAGCCTTATTCTGTGCTAGTCGAGCTATCCAATTCACCACCTACATTTACCTCAGGTCCCTGGAGAGCCCAATCCAGCTGAGGGAATTTTTCATGATTCTATATGATTTGCTCCCTCCCACCTCCCCCAACTCCCTCCCCAGTATAATACAAACCCCCTTCCAGACCTGCTCAAGTCATCAAGGGGTGACAGAAGTGCCTGAACCATTGAGACTAATGGTAGCTTCAGCTAGACAAAGGAAAACTTGGTTGGCTGGTTGTTGGGGGATCCAGGTCCTTGGTAGCAAATGTTGTGTACCCCCAGAGTTGTGCAATTTTTCCCTCTAAATAAGCACTGAGAGGCAAGATGATGTCCGGTGACCCATTTGCCAAAGACTCCAGGCTGGAAGATAAAGAGCAGGGCTTGGTGGAAGAGCAAGGCGGATCAAGCACCGACTCCTTCAGTTTTTTTTATCCTAGGTCCTGAGTGAAACCCGAATGCTTGTCTACATCTCAGGTCCTTGGGGAATATGGAAGAGGCAAATCCTGTTTGGAGAAAGCCAATGTCCAACACAGTACTTGGTGAACATCAGGCATGTGAATGCCGAGTGAATAGGTACCGTGGGCCAAGCCGAGCCCCACTTGCTCGTCTGGGCTGGTATAATTAAGGAGGCCCAACCCAGGGTCTCCTATCCATAGGCTGAGGAGCAGTAACAGTCAGGAACAGGGCCCAGCCCACCTCCCCTAGGAGGCAGAGGGAAGGGGGCTGAGTGGTTGTCAGGCATGGTCCTCCCCATCTGCAATGTGGCGGTAGCCAGGAGGCTGGGCCTGCATCCGGAAGAGGACGGTGAGGAGCAGCACTATGAGAAGGAAGAGTATGGAGCCACAGACAGCCAAGGCCACGATCACCTCTGGGCAGGGGGAGGGGAAGAGAAAGGTAAAGTTAGCATTCTTCCAACAAATGTTGAGCATCTACCATATGCCAGGTACTGTTCTGACATACAGGGGATATGCAGGCAGCCCTCATGGAGTTTATATCTAGCACATGGGTTCTATTTTCCCAGTGCTGGAGATCAAACTCAGGGCTCACATATAGAGGCAAGTGCTCTACCACTGAGCTACATCCCCAAGCCAAATTCACATTTTAGGAGGAAAGATCCAATAAACAAGCAAATGGTAGGAACAACAGGTTAGTGATAAGTACTATAAGAAGGTCAGTCAGGGAAGGCATCAATGAAGAAGTCAGACCAGACAATGAGTGAGACAAAGATATAAGAGCAGAGTGGGGGTCAGGAAGCAACTACAGATGGCCTCAATATGGGAATAAACATGGCATGTTCCAAGATAAGCAAAACAGTCTCACTGGACAAAGTAAACAAGGGGCAAATAGGAGATGGGGCAGAGGACCAGGCTAAGGAGGGCCGGGAGGTCCTGTCGAGAACTTGGATTTCATTCTCTATGGAATAGGAAGCCACTGGAAGATTCTGACGTGATGAGAGATCAACACAGATATGAATAGAACCAGAAAGAATGCTAGAGACTTTTCAAGAGTTCAGGCAAGAGCTGATGGCATGGACTAAGGAGGGAAGAGCATGCACCTGAAAGACTAAGCTGACAGGATCTGCTAGTAGGCTGGATGTGGGTTATGAGAAAAATATTGCCTAGGGTTATACTGTCAGTAGGGTGACTAATGTGGCATTTACTAAAATGGGGAAGCCTGGAGGAAGAGCAGATTTGAGGGGAAGAGCATCTGGACGTCCATGTAGAAACCTCAAGTCAGCTGGACATGAGTTTAGCCCAGAGAAGATGTCACGCATCTGCAAGTCATAACAAAGACAGGACTTAGCATGGAGATGGTGTATGGGAGCCACGAGGCTGAGATCATTTCAGGAGTCAGGATAAATAAGAAAAGGCTGGGGAAAGCTGGGGGCCATTGTTTTATTAGTGGGGAGGGAAGCCTATAAGTAGGAGAAAAAACAGGAGAAACCAAGAAAGTTCTTTCTTTTTCCCACCTTGTGGTGGCAGGGTTTGGCAGTGCTGGGGATCATCCCAGGGCTTCTCACATGCTGGAAAAGTGCTCTACTACTGAGGTACACCTCTGGCCCCAAGGGAGTGTTTAAGGAAGGAGTGATCAAGTATGTTAATGCTGCTGAGAGGAGAGAAGCTAAGTACTGGTCACCTTGACAGGGGTGGCTTCAGTGCAGTGGAAGGTGACATGAGACTATCTGATGTCACTTGGAGAGAACAAGTAGTGAGGAAGTAAAGCCAGAGTCTAGGCAACTTTTCCATGAATTCTACCCTCAAATGAATCAGGGGAGCTGGAGGAATGGGCTTCAGGGGTCTCTGTTAGGCTCTGAGATACGACTATCCAGGAAAGAAGGGAACACTGAGGCATCAGAGGTCCTCGTGAAGAGCAGAAGCGAGGGATCCAAAGTGGAGCAGCTGCCCCTGCTTCCTGGCTAAAGCCAACTGTGAGCCGGTAGGTCTGAGGGTGGGAGAACAAGTGCTCTCTCCTGGCTGCTCTTATTTCTCAGTGATGTGAGTGAGTGCATCCCCTGAAGGTGGAGTGGGAAGAAGGGGTAAAATGTTCTCAGGGTGGAAGAGGGAAATGTCCAAGGAGATGCAGTAAGATGGCTGGAAGTGTGACAGCTCCCTCAAGATTTGTGGATGTGACCTGGGACCTGACTAGCACAGAGGCGGGCAGCAGCTCACCTGTGTCTGCAGTACTGCTTGCCAGCTGGCATTCCTGCTGCCAGTCCTTGGGCACAACGGACTCTGTGAGGTGAAGAAAGTCCTGCAGTGGGCAGCGTAGAGGGCAGCCAGGCAGGATCAGTGGCCAGGGGGCCTTCTTACTTTCATTCCGAAAGTACATCTCCACTGAGAAATTCCTGGGGGTTGACAGCAGGTGATGGGAACTACTCACCATGCCTGTAAATGAGTCCTTGGGCTGCCCCCAGCCATACCTGAGTGCCTCTTCAGAGGTCACACTGGTAGCTCAACTTACCCATTATCTTCCTGGTAGAGTTCAAATATGTGGCAGGAGGCGTAGGGGGCTTGTTCACCATTGTAGACATCCAGTGCCATTTGCAGAGCAACAAGGGTAGTGTCGTGCTGTAAGAGAGATGGCCTGTCCATCAGCACTGCTCCCCAACACCCCCAGGCACTGAGTAGAGATGAAATCCAACCACTGGCTTGGTGTCAGCACGCTGGGGAGTTCAGCATCTTACCGCAGAGTACACCAGCAGCTTAGGGAGTTGGGAGGTAGTTGCCATTAGGGTCAGGTTCTTCCGTATCTGAGCCAGCAAGACTCCTGAAGAAGAAAAGTCCTCAGTGTCACTGGCTATAGCCATCATTATCATTGGATCAGACCCATTTGCTCCTCTCAAGCTCTGCTAGTCCTGGTTCTAATCACCAACCCAGGTTCACAAGGCCCATGTCAGAACTCTAAACCACTCCCTGCCCTCCAAAAACTTTCAAATTTACAGAGGGAAGCAAGATAAAACAAGGTATCTATATTTAAACACAGATGAAGAAAGCTGCCCCTTCATCAGTGAGCTATGAGGCCCTTCCCAGTTTGATTACTCCAGTGTGGAACAAAATGTAAACTTAAGACTGCTCCACAACACACAAGATGGTGGCTCCATGCCAGGGTGACTGCCATATGTAGGTTCTGAAAACTACTGAGGTGTCAGAAAGGCTCGACAGCTGGCACACTCTTGGGTGCTGTAGCATGGAAGCTGGCACACATATTATTCTCAGTCTTCCCTCAAAATAGCCCTAGCAGTTCTCTGGGGAAGTATTCAGTCAGGGGAGGGAAGGTCTTCTGACATGGGTGAAATTTAGTAAGTATGGCAAAAAAGAAACATGTAAATCTGACTGGTCACAGGGCTAGGTGTCGAGAGAGCTGGATGACTAAAGGGGAAGACAAGGCGGAAACCTGGTTTTGAAAGAACAGAGAACATTTCATGAGCAGCCCCATAGCAGATTTTCAATGTGGAGGGGAGTGACATGCTGTCCTTGTCACTCACCCCCCTGAAGCCGGGCCTTCTCTGCCTGCTCATGGATCCCGAAGAGGAAGCGGAAGCTGAAGTCCTTTAGCTGGCTCAGACGCTGCATGGTTTGGGGTGAGGCCCAGGGTGGCAGGAGTAACCCATGGGTTTGCTGTGTATTGTATGGGGCAGGTTAACTCCCCAGGCCTAGGCCAGAGCTTCTCTGGGGGCAGCTCTCTTCCCCAGAGGGAAGGTGCCTGTGTGTGAGGGAAGGGGAGGAGAGCAGAGGTGAGGTGGAGGGGCTGGAATGGCAGGCCGTGTTGGGGCTGCAGGGCACAGGAGAGGAAGCTCAGGCACAAAGAGCAAGATTCAGCAGAAAGACGCCTGATACCACAAGAGCCCTGGGTGGAGAGGAGTAGGAACTGCTGACCACTAGCAAACATTTCCCACTCTGAGACTTTTCACCCGTGGGGGAAGTTCCCGTGTTTCACAGGGAGCAGCTTGCTGGACCTCCCCAGTGGGCATGGCGGTATTCAAGCATTGTGTTCTACCATCCTGGTGACTTGGGCCTGCTGAGGGGGAGAGAGAAGTAATCCCACTGGGCACCTCTGTGGGCTCACCTCACAGAAGAGTGTGTCATAGACATTCCAGACAGTCTCCAGAGTCAGGTCTGTAAGTCCTGTCTCATTGGCCACCATGTCCAGAAATTGCTATGAAAAATGATTTAGGGGATCAGTCCTGCCCTGGGGAAAGAGCAGTCTGATGACCTCCGGCTCAGCCCCCACTCACTGCATTCCGAATACTCTCATTCTGATACTCTGGTGTCTGCCGAGTCTCATTCTGCAGCTGCTCATAACGCGGACA